TAGTTCCTCTCGTTCCCGTTGGAGTTCTTCCACCCGGGACGCCGCCATGCCGGCACCGTCGGCCGGCTCTGCCGCGGTGACCTCGATGGCGGGGTGGTAGCCGTATAGTAGGTAGAACGGGGTGTGTCCCGTTGACTCGTGCACCGAGTTGTTGTAGGAGAACTCGGCGAGCGCTAGTTTGCTAGCCCAGTTACCCTGTGAGTAATCGCAGTAGCAGCGAAGGTACTGCTCTAGCATCTGGTTCTGTCGCTCCGTCTGGCCGTTGGTTTGTGGCCGGAAAGCGGTGCTCAGCCGCCTCCGTATTTGGAGGTAGAACATAAAGCTTCCCCAAAACGCACTCGTGAACTGGGGGCCCCAGTCGGAGGTGATTCCCGTCGGGGTCCCGTAGTCCTTGAAGATAGTGTTTGCGAAGACTTCCGCAAGTTCTGGGGCGTCAATGGTAGCGTTGACGGGTATATAACGTGCCATCTTCGTGAGGCGATCCACGACGACGAGGATTGAGTCATAGACTCGGCCTCGGAACCGGCTCGGCGGTAACCCCACTATAAAGTCCATCGTGATCTCCTGCCAGGGGGTGGTCGGGGGTTGGAAAGGCGCCAGCTCGCCGTATGGCGCGTGCCTTTTAGTCTTCGTGCGTTGGCAGACGTCGCACGTCCGGAGGTGACTCTTCACGTCCCTCCTCATCCCCACCCAGTAGTATTTCCGTTGTAGCAGCTCCTGGGTGCGGGCGAAACCGAAGTGGCCAGCGTGAGGGTCGTCGTGGTGCGTGGCTAGTAGTTCCGCCCGCATCGGTGGCGAATCGGGGACGTATATGGCGCCCTTCCTTCGGAGTAAGCCGTCCTCCCCTGTCGTCCACAAGGCGGCCTCTCGGGGTCACCACATCGAGTGCGGGGCTGCCGCCCGTTGGGTGACGAAGTCATCCCGGGACTGCAGTTCTAGGAGAGCCTCTCTTACCGTCGCCCCTGAGGGCGAGTAGGGTCTTTCTCCCGCGACGATGGCGTTCGTGTCCTGGCGCCGTAACGGCGCCGCCTCCGCGGTCAGACTAGGTTGTTCCAAGCTGACTGCTAGCTTCGCGCTTAGTTGGTTCGTTCCTCGTTGGCGGCCTACCGCGATTAGAGGTGGCGGCGAGTCCGCAGCCGTCTCGGGGCCGCTACATAGACGGAAGTGTAGGCCAGGTAAGTGTTGGTCGAGGGTAGGGTCATCGAGGGGCTGGTAGTCCGGTCTCCGCGACGGTCCGTCCGCAGGGTTGGCCTTGCCGGGGCGGTATTCGATGTAGAAATCGTAGCGGGCGAGCGACTCCGCCCAGCGTGCTTGCCGTCCGTTTAGGCTCCTCTTGGTCATGAAGTATCGGAGGTTGTTGTGGTCAGTCCGTACCCGTACCGACCTCGTGACGCCCCGGAGGTACTGGCCCCAGTGGTCCATAGCCAGGACGATGGCCAGGAGTTCCTTGTCGTGAGTGTCGTACCTGAGCTCCACAGGGGAGAACTTCCTGGAGAAGAAAGCGACTGGGTGCCACTTCGCCTCCGGTCCGGCCCCGAATAGCTGCGACAGGATACCCGATGCGGCGTACCCCGAGGCGTCCGTTTCTACCTGCGTCGGCAGTTCGGGCTCGTAGTGTCGCAGCATCGGGGCGGTGGTGAACCAGGCCTTAAGCACGTCGAACGCTGTCATGGCGTCTAGCGTCATGTGGAACTTGCGCCCCTTTTCGACCCCAGTAGTCTTTAGGAGGTTAGTGATTGGGCCAGCTACCCTAGAGTAGCCCTCGATGAATCGGCGGTAGAAGTTGGTGAACCCTAGGAACACCTGGACCTCCCTAACCGACCTCGGCGGCGGCCACTCGTTAACGGTGGCGACCCGGGCGGGGTCCATGGTGATGCCCTGGGGCCCTACCATGAAGCCGAGGAATTCCACGCTGTCCATGGTGAACACACACTTCTTGAGGTTGGCATATAGCCGGTGGGTCCGTAGCCGGTTCAGGACCTCCTGTACCGCCCCCTCATGGTGCTCTGGGTTTTCGGAGAAGATCAGGATGTCGTCTAGGTAGACGACGCAGGTCACGTCTACTAGGCCTATGAGGGCCTGGTTTATGTACGCCTGGAAGGTCGCTGGTGCATTCGATAGTCCAAACGGCATGACGAGGTATTCGAAGTGGCCGTACCGGGTCCGAAACGCCGTCTTCCACTCGTCCCCCCCGCGAATACGTATTCGGTGATGTGCGTCCTTGAGGTCTAGTTTGGTGAAGACCTTTGATCGGCGTAGCCGGTCGAGGGTCTCGCTGATGAGCGGTAGCGGGGTCCGATTCCGAACCGTAACTGCGTTCAGCCCCCTATAATCCACACAGAGTCGTAGGCTCCCGTCTTTCTTTGGGACAAACAGGATTGGGGCCCCCGCTGGCTAATGGACCTTCGGATCCACCCCTTCTTGAGGCCCGAATCGAGATACTCTCGTAGCGCCTCGAGCTCCGGTTCGCCAAGGGGGTATACCGGGCTCCAGGGGGGTTCCTTGCCCCCTTCCACCTCGATTTTATGCTCCATTGGGTGGTGCTCGGGCAATACCCCAGCCTTCGCTGCGTCGAAGACGTCAGCCTAGTCCTGGTATTGGTTAGGGAGGACCGCCAGGGCCGTATCGGCGGTGACGACACCGATACGCTGCCCCCTTACTGCCCATTGGGTGAGGACTCCGTAGGCTCCCCCCGCCTCCTGGACATCCTCGTAGAACTGTTCAGGTCCTACCTCCCGGACGGCCCCCTGCCGTGTCGGGAACTCCCACGCCCCGTCCTTGTAACTGATTGTAGGGTCAACGTCAGCTATCCAAGGGTACCCTAGGATGAGGTTCACATCTAACCCGTCGAAGGCGCAGGCTACGAACCGGTGGCCGGTCGTTAACGACCTCCCCGCCCCATCCGTGGCGCCGATGGGTAGGTGGTGGACCCCATAGGTCCATACCTCCCTCCCCTCAAGGGTCGACAACCCCGTGTCGGCCCCTTTGCTAGACTCCCATCCGCACTCTACGACTAGAGACTGGCGGACGCAGTTCTCCTCTGCCCCGCTGTCGATCAGGGCTCACTCCGTTCGGGTGGACCCATCCGCGGCAGTGACTTGGACCGCGATCACTAGCCGTCTCCGCGTTGGTGGCACCCCGCCTTGGTCCCGGGGGTTTAGGGCAGTGGATATCACTGCCGGGACTCGCCTTTTCCTGTCAGGCTCGGGCAATCCGGGGAAATGTGCCCCTTCTTGCTGCAATTGTAGCATATAGCCTCAGGGCAATGGGCCAGCCGGTGCTCCACCGAGCCGCAGCCGTGGCACCCGTTGCCGCGGCGATCTCCCTTCGCGCCCGCTGGGGTGCGATTTGGGCTCATAGCAGGGCCTCTCCTAGGGCCCTCAGGGCCCCGTTCCTCAGTCCCCGTAGGCCGCGATGGTCGCAGGGGCCCCGCCCTAATGTCCTCGCGGTCTCCCACCCTCGCCGGGGTGTCGGATCGCCTCCGGTTAGGCCTCCTATCGTGAGGCAGTGCGTGTTCTCTATGCGGGTCGCTAGAGCTAGCATGCCTTGCTGCGTACGGGGTATGTCGTCGCGGTGCAGGATCTCGCGCCGCACCTCCTCCCGCAGTTTTGCATAGAGGGTGTTTTTCCGGAGCTCCTCGTCTTCGATCCGGAGCTCGAGCTCGAGAGTGTCGAGGTGGGCCGCGAAATCTTCCGCCGATTGGGTCTCGCCTTGCTTCGCCTCATTGTACGACGTTATGGCGTCGAACGTGCGGTTCGAGGGGTCGATGATGGAATCCATTATCCACTCCTTGAATTCCGCCCAGGTGGTGTTCCCTAGCCCCTCGCGGCGCTCGTGGCGCTCCCACTTTGCTGCCGGCGTCGGTCCGAAGGCGAGGACGCAGTAGTCGATCTTGTTCTGGTCCATGGGGTACTGTGACCCCGCATCGATACGGAACCGGCGGTCTGCCCCAGCGGCGAAGACCTGCGCCTCCCGCAGGCTCTTCCCCTGGAAGGTTGCTAGGTCGCGGAACTTCGGCGCTCTGTGGGGGCCTCGGGGGTGGCTCGCCGCCGACTCGCCAGCAACGCTCCCTATCTCGAGGGAAGCTCTCCCTTGGTCGTAGCCGTCGTGGCCGTTGCTTGCGCGCCGCTTCCGGTCCCGCGTCGGCGTCCACTCCTTCCGTAGTTCGCGCAGCTCCCGTTGGAGTGCGTGCTTTCGTTGCTCCTGGACCTCCAGTTCTGCGATCCGCGATTCCACAGCGGCTCGCTTCCGGGCCCGGGCGGCACGCACCTCGCATTCTAGATGGTCGGCCTCGCGGCGGGCCTCGTCCACCCGGTCACCCCAGTCGGACGGGACCCTAGTTAGGGTGGAGAGTTCCGATCCGTCAGGGCTTCCATCCCGGTCGCCATGGAGGTCCTCACTGGCGCTAAGTTGGCGTTGGGCGTGCCCCTCGTCTTCTAACTGGCTCGACCCTGAGTGCGGCCCCGGTTCGTCGTCACCTCGGAGGGTTTGCGTAGCGTCCTGGTTTTGGGAGCACGAACGGTCGTGGCCCCTTCGAATGGTGCGCCCATCGCAAAGTAGGGGCGTTGCCATAACCGGGTCGTAGCGGGCTGCCTCCCGTTATTAAGAGAGATTAGAATGTAAGGGTTTAGGTAGACAGCGTGCTAAGACCGTAGGTTCGAGTAGCCAGTATCGTATTCAACAATCTAATCTCTGAGCCCTTCCTAGTAGGGGGCTCAGCTACTTTATCTACTCCCCCGGAGTCGGGCCCCCGCCGTCTCGGTTGCGAGTCGGAGCCACGACAACAGCCTAATAGCAGCCTAAGGCCCTAAGGCCCCCCTAGCAGCCTTAGGCCGCTAGAGGCACCGTAGCGGGACGTCTCCGATGCGGGACCGCAACCAGCTCCCCCTTCCTACTGACCTCCTCTTAACCTACCCGTGACAAATAGCCTCACCTTCCTTCCTTCTTCTTCTTCTTCTCTCTTTAGATTCAATCTAGATTACTTTTCCTGGACTGGCATCATGACCTCTATGACCATCGTAACATAAGATTGAATCTCATTTCTTCATTAGCTCATCCTGAGCAAGAAACTAGAAACCAGCACAAACCTTCGAGCAACAGAACCCTCAAACCAGAAACCAGCACAAACCTTTGAGCAACAGAACCTCCAGAAATCGAAACTCAGACCAACCAGAGCTACACATTGAACCAGAACCAGAACCAGAACACCAGAACATCAAATCCAGAAACCACAAGTCAACTCAATACCACACTCAAGCATCAGAACCCAGAACATTATATCAGCAGAATTAGACCTTTCCGTGACGCTCCCTCAACAAGGATATAACCGTGACAGAAGTGCGCTTCTCTTGAGTGGCTCGTACGGCTGACAACTGCATAATAGGGCCTTCACCACATACGTGTCTAGTTCCTGATACCAACAAAGTCAGAAGAAGATCCTGACCTTGACAATTCCAGGGACATGTCATCCGTGACAGGAGTCAAGATCAAGGACAAGAAACCCAATCTACTACAAGCAATGAGGACTGCTTAGAAAGCCACACCTACAATAGAAGGGAAACACTACTTGAGGATCCAGAACACCAAGCTACCCTTCGTATTTGGGAGCTTAAAGACCTCTCAGTTGTGAGCACCTGGAGCCAAGCCCAGAGAGAGGCTGCACTTCAAATCCAAAAGCAGATGATGGAGGATTATGATCATGTCACCCAGCTCTACAATACTACCCTCCAGAAGAGTCGAGAGGAGAAGGCTACATATGATGACAATATCAGCCAGCTACAAGAGGTTATCCAAGCTCATGAGCAGACAATGGCAGGACAAGCTGCTGTTGTGAAATATCTTGAAGAAGTGGATGTGGCTGCGCACTCATAGTCTGGCTTACAACAATGAACTCCGAATCAGGTTAGCGCGAACACTTCTCCTTTCATACATAGGACAGTCTAACCCGGACGCTTCGCGGATGCGATTCGGAGTCCACTCGGACCACCACAAATGTACCCCAGAGCGAACAAAGCAAACTCTGGTGAATGCTGTTGACGCAGAACGAATTGTGAGATAGAAGGCATATCACCAATAGAGCTTTTAAAGCCACGCCCTATTCAAGGCTTTGATGGAACAGCAGCCCCTCCCATCACTCATGCTATATACCCTCACCTACAGGTACAAGACCATGTTGAAAGTCTATGCCCTCTATTCATCACCACTCTTGGGAAACATTCTGTCATTCTTGGGAAGGCTTGGATGAAGCAACATGGAGTTATACTTGATATGGTAAATGACCAAGTCATATTTACTAAAGGTCATTGCCAGCACACTACACCAACGAATACTCAAAATCCAAAACCTACATTACCCCAAGTCAATAAGCAAATACAAGATGACAAAGCTTGGAAGCCAGCCCTCCAACCTCCTTATAAGAACAAGAACACATGCACTGTCACAATGATTGGAGCCGCACCATTTAATATGCTTCGGAAGCAGAAGGGAGCAAAGGAGGAACTTGATCTTGTGAAGAGATATATTGACGACAACTTGTCCAAAGGATTTATTGAAGCTAGCAAAGCTCCCTTTGCCTCTCCTGTCCTTTTCGTCCGCAAACCAGGTGGCGGACTTCGATTCTGTGTTGATTACTGCAAGTTAAATGCCATTACAAGAAAAGACTCATACCCGCTACCTGTAATGGTGGGTGCACCAGATGTGAGAATCTAGCCACCCAAGGAAGGGATGGTTTTACTAAGACAACACACTGTCTTAGGAAAAAGAGCCAAAGGGTCATAGCTTAGACTATTCCACAATGCAGCAATCAGGTGTATGATGTAGTGGAGTGGTTTAGACAAGTTGTAACAAATGTTGAGTCTGAGAACTCAGGGATAAGTCAGAGGTTAACACCTCACTGACTTTTCAGAAACAAGGAGTAACAAGATCAATGCTTGGAAGCTTGGAAAAGATGTGGAAGTATGTGATAGTCGATTTACTGTATTGTCTGCTTGCCCTTTCTTAAGGAAAGGGCAATCCTATTTATGCTAAAGGAGTGTAGTTCTCTCATTTTCCAAGACTTTCCATGACTAACCAGGCTTGGTAACTGTAGTCGACATAAGAGAATCCCATAGAACCATCTCCTAGGTTCCTAGAATATAGGAAGTGAAAGGAGGTCCAAGGTCAGAGTACCCCTATAGACAGATTATGTCAGAACTTAACCAACCTTGTGGGTAGCTAAGGAGTGATGACGTGTAATGAATCATAGACGGTTGTAGAAGATTTTCGAGCTATTGTTCATGTTCCTAGGCCTCTAGTTGATAGAGATATGTCATGTGTAGTATTAGCCCACTAACTAAGGAGTGATGTCATGTATGAATCATAGAGGGTTGTAGAGAATGTGGTCATATCGGCCCAGTAACTAAGGAGCAATGACGTGTAATGAATCATAGAGGGTTGTAACAATCGTTGAGTAGTATTGCTCTTGTTGTTGGTGTGACAAGCCAAAATATGTATAGTGACTTGTAGGTTTGAGGAGGAGATTTCTAAGTTTGCTCTTGAGTTTGGTAGCAAACTGAGTGCAACTAATGTCAGTATGACACTACCCCTCATCGATGAAACATTGGCTCAGATCACAGGTGCCAAATATCTTACAAAGATTGACATTCGTCATGCATTTAATCGGATCCGTATGCAAACAAAAGAAGATGAAGATCTCACTACCTTTAAGACGAGATTTGGATCATACAAGTACAAGGTCCTCCCTTTTGGCCTTACAAATGGCCCTGCAACATTCCAGCGATATATGAACGAAACCCTTATGGAATACATAAACAAATTTGTTACAGCATATATGGATGATCTTCTCATCTATAGTGCGCATCGATCTGAGCATACCCAGCATGTGCAAATGGTTTTACAGAAGCTCCGCGAAGCTGGACTACAAGTAGACATTGCAAAATGTGAATTCTATGTCCAAGAAACAAAATCCCTAGGGCTTATCATTGGAATCTATGACATGAGAATGGACCCCGCAAAAGTCCAAACTATACTTGAATGGAAAGCACCAAGGTCGCTCCGAGATACACAAGCCTTCATTGGGTTCTGTGTGTTCTACCGGCAGTTTATAAGAAGCTACTCTACGATTATGAAGCCACTGGTAAATCCCACAAAGAAAGGTCAAATATTCGAATGGAACCAAGCCTGCTGTAAGGACACAGGGCACCCAGCTCACAGTAATAGCATATGAGAGTGTGAGTCAGAGGCTAAACGGATGCTATCCTATAGGTCTACTACGAAGGATACAAAAAAGATGAAGGGGGAACCCCGTTGAGTCTGTTTCCTTAAGTACCCGAAACGGGCCCGACTCGGTTATCCCAACCCTAGCCCTGAACCTTCCACCGCAACAGGTCTGCATCGACCCTGAACCCTATACACTTACCGTCCCCCACTATAGTGTAACTCGCTATATGCTCCTCTACTGGTTCGAAACCCCACCGAGTCGAATTCCATGCTTGTAGTGACCGTAACAGTTCTGAGACAGGTTCTTCGAGTATCTAGGTACGGAGGCATCCTTACACCTGCCAGGCAGCCTTTGAGTTGATTAAGAAGACTGTTACAGAAGCACCCATGCTACAACACTTCGACCGGGATAAAACAGCGTATGTGGAAGCAGATGCCTCACTGTCATACTGACATTCGTTGCACTCAGTTTGCTATCAAACTCAAGAGCAAACTTGGAAATCTCCTCCTCAAACCTACAAGTCACTATACATATTTTGGCTTATCACACCAACAACAAGAGCAATACTACTCAACGATTGCTACAACCATCTATGATTCATTACACGTCATCGCTCCTTAGTTACTGGGCCAATATTACCACATAGCATATCTCTACAACCCTCTATGATTCATTACATGACATCACTCATACTACCACATGACATATCTCTACCAACTAGAGGCCTAGGAGCATGAACGATAGCTCTAAAAGCTCCTGCGAACCTCTATGATTCATTACACATCATCGCTCTTTAGTTACCCACAAGATTGGTTAAGTTATGACATAATTTGTCTATGACATAATTTGTCTATAGGGGTACTCTGACCTTGGACCTCCTTTTACTTCCTATAGGCTATGAACCTAAGAGATGGTTCTATGGGATTCTCTTATGTCGACTACAGTTACCAAGCCTGGTTAGTCATGGAAAGTCTTGGAAAATGAGAGAACTACACTCCTTTAGCATAAATAGGATTGCCCTTTCCTTAAGAAAGGGCAAGCAGACAGTACAGTAAATCGACTATCACATACTTCCACGTCTTTTCCAAGCTTCCAAGCATTGATCTTGTTACTCCTTGTTTCTGAAAAGTCAGTGAGGTGTTAACCTCTGACTTATCCCTGAGTTCCCAGACTCAACATTTGTTGCAACTTGTCTGAACCACTTCACTACATCACACACATGATTGCTGCATTGTAGAATAGTCTAAGCTACAACCCTTTGCTCTGTTTCCTAAGACAGTGTGTTGTCTTAGTAAATTCATCCCTTTCTTGGGTAGCTAGATTCTCACATCTGGTGCACCCACCATTACAGAAACCCGGATTGGTAGGGTAGTAGCCGTAGGCGTAGACGTAGGCTGTGAGTAGGTGCGTAGTTTCGTGAGGGCTGTATTACAGCTTATAGGTCAAATACCAGCTTTCTGGAAAGCTGATATTATAGTAGACTCCTTAAAAGTCTTCTCCCGAATGCGTGTGAGATCTCTCATGAAGGATTGTAGGTCGTAGGTAAGATCCATATCCCGTATGGCAGTAAGAACAGCTACTCGATGCCAGTGCTTATAAGGCTGGAACACTCCCATGTCTAATGGCTGTAAAACGTGTGTAAGATGTGAGGGAAAGGTGTATATAATAATGTTGTGTTCTTCTGCTGCAATGATGAAGTCATGGCTCGTTGTAACGCTGACTTCTAAATGATAGAAGACACAGAGGTTTCTTGCGTAAGGTTGACTTGACAGAGGAGGCAGGGGATTAGACACAAAGGCTTTCAAAGTAACACGTTACAGTATTGTAAAGAATACTATATTGAGTTGAGCACAAAGCTCCTATCTAAGGAAATACTATCTACTTATATAGTGGCGTTGTGCCTTATGGGTAATTTGGATAGTTGGCGGATAGCTAGATATTCAGGATAGTTCATGGCTCAACTTTCCAATATCCACTAGTTTCTGCAACTATCCATTAGCCCCGTCACATGGCAGCCTACCCCGCTTCCCACTGTGACTCACACGTCACGTTATGTGACTCACACGTCACGTTACTAGGCCCTGGCCCTGTAACCATGACATCATGTTACTATAGCCGTAACACTCGTATGGCTTACATGAGAGTCGAGTAATAGAACCCTTGTATCCGCTGAGGGTGTATGCTTAGCAAAATGCTCTAGCCACCGAAGAGCAAGCTGGCTATTTGAAAACCCAGAGTCGGAGAATAGTACTAGCTCTGTGCCTTCAAGGTTGGCGTGGTACCAAGAATCCATATGTATTTTGCCCGGAATGATAAGTACTGGTGGTATGACTTTTCCTACTGCAGACACAGCCTCAAGGATAGTAATAGATGTACGGTTTTCAGGGCTTGGAGTATAGAGCTCCTTTGCTGTTCGTGGCACAATAACCTTCTCACCTCCTGGAATTCCAATTCTAAAGCCAGTTTCATCCATATTCCAGATTGACTCTGGCTTTATACTACACCGTAGTGTAAACTCAAGGTAGTCTCGAAACCAATTTATAATACTAGACCCATCTTGAGCTTTGGTACGTAGCTGTGCAATTGGCTTCGTAGTAATAAAGTGGAAGTCTTGAAGCTCATTCCGTATATATTTTGTAAGCCAGCTTGGTGA